GGTTGTTGGTCGTTGGTTGTTGGTGGTTAATCATTGGTTGTTGGTTGTTGCTTGTTGCTTGTTGGTTGTTGCTTGTTGGTTGTTGGTTGTTGGCTTTGTCGGTGTTGTTGGTTTTGTCGGCGTTGATGGTTTTGTTGGTGTTGTTGGTGTTGTTGGTGTTGTTGGTTGTGTTGGTTGTGTTGGTTGTGTTGGTGTTGTTGGTGTTGTTGGTTGTGTTGGTTGTGTTGGTTGTGTTGGTTGTTGGTTGTTGGTTGTTGGTTGTTGGTTGTTGGTTGTTGGTTGTTGTTGTTGTTGGTGTTGGTGTTGGTGTTGGTGTTGGTTGTTTGTTGTTGTTTGTTGTTTGTGTTGGTATTGTTAGTTGTGTTGTTTGTTGGTTGTTGATTGCTGTTTGTTGTTTGTTTGTTTGTTTGTTTGTTTCACCGCCCGCTGCTCTGTCTTGCACAATGAGAAGAGTGCTTCGCACTTCTTCGCCCCGGCCAGGGGCGCCTTCAAGTCATCGCTTGCCGAGGCCAATCCAATCCTTCAATTCTTGACAGAGCAACTTGAGGATGCCTTCTAGTCTGTGTGGTTCGAGAGAGTCAGCTCAGAAGCTAACATTACGAAGTACCATTGCCTCGGTAGGTAGAAGCTTCAACATATTTTGCATTTATAGTCGTCGAGTTTGTGGAAAGGATTTTGCTCGACAACAAGCCACATTTCTGGACCCATTTTTTAGGTTTTCCGTTTTATTTTCCAGCATTGTTTTTGCCATGCCATGTCTCCGCTTGCATGTGTTGTGAGTGAGCATGTATGGCAGTTCTTGGCCTACGCGGCGTCTCGTGCGACATGACAACCGCCAGACGTCACATCCTTATATAGACGTGACATCTCGTATGGCAGGCAGCATGTCTTCGACAGTAGCTTCTATTCTAGTCGATTCTATCAGTTTTCAGACCTGGTAGAGTGGTTCCAAGGTGCTGGCATGACACGCTGCTTTCCTTCCCAGAGCAGTTTTGGCTTTTCAGAAACTTTTTTTAGTGTGGCGCCGTGGCTCGCAGCAAACACAAGTCGTGCTTCTCATTCTGCACTGGCTGCACGCTGGTCCGGAGGACGAGTTAGCATGGGGCCTCATGGGCGGGATGGGAGAGTTAGAGCTCGCACTGGAAAGCCAAGAACATGGTCGTTTGCCTGTGCCAGGGCGGACGAAACTCAAAGGACGCACATCTTTAGCTGCAATTCTTTGCAGAAACGTTCTGCAAGTTGGTCAGTTTCTCGTCGACACAGGTTTTTGCAGCTTTCCACAGCGAGGAAAGTGCAGATGTGACGAGCCCAAGTGGAAGCTGGAAGCCTGTCGAGAATCCTGCACATGGCGTTGTTTGAGGTGTCGCATCGCCTTGAGTTCGCAGGAATCTGGTCTTGGAGGTCAAAAGTTGCCACTAAAGTCAATAGCGGGAGCTTTGTGGATCTACACCTCCAAGCTTCATCTGTCTCCAAACTGGCATCGACTTTTTGAAACGTTCAACAAGTGCTTTGTGTCCTCCATAGAGCAGCTGAACGATTGTCTTGTGGTTGGCGGTGTTGGAGCGGACGTGGAGTTGGATGAAGTGGCTTTTCGATCTGTTGGTCGTTCTTCCATTGTTTGGCTGCGATACATGCTTGCTGCTCGTCGAGGCTCCAGTTTGGTGTGGTTGGAACGCCTTCCTTACAAGATCACAGAAGCAGGTCAGGGCGGCGGAGGCCCCATTTCCGTTGAGGAAATGCCGTCGGCTTTGCTACTGGACTCTGATGAGCCGGTCCGTGCAGTGGGAAGTGTGTACCATACGGATGGTGCCAAGGCGTACAAGACTTTGAAGAGTCCACTGCACGATGGACGTTTGGTTGAAGGAGATCTACGTCTTTCCCACACTTGTGTAAAGCAGAAGCAAGCCACCACACCCTGAATTCTCGAAGAGAATGCAGGTGGAAGGATAGAGTTGGAGGGACTCGGAAGGTTGATGGGTTCTTCGCTGCCTTCCGCAGAGTGGTTGGTAGACGCCCTTTCAATACTGTGGGTTCTGATGGCTCTAAGGCAGAACGCATGGAGGAGGTGATGCGGTTTCATGTTCGTCTTTTCCAGTTCAAGCACTGGTTTGGGGGGCAAGACATGTTTGCTGTCTTTGGGCATTTACCTTCTTGAGAACCTCGAAGGGGGGGGGAGGGGCTTGGGGAAAATTGGGGGGCTGGAGTGAAAGAAAGTTTTCCTGGAAACTCTTTTAAAGATTTCAACGACTTGCAGTTGCTGTTGCACTTGTTCTGATTGCATGCTAGATTCTGGAGAGCTCAGATGACTTTATGTCCGCCGAAGACTCGGCTGGCAGAATGATTTTCAAGTAGGTAGGGGCCTTTCTGCGCGCGGTGGGGTGCCATGGGGTCCTATGAAGAGGATCGGTGAGGATTCAGTATGGCAGGAGATTTACTCCATCCATGCTGTTATAGCACTGCGCTGTCGGGAGGCCTTCAGAGATCCGACACAGCTGGGAATCGCAATCAGTTCGTATGATGACGCTGTTGAATTGTAGAGGAATGCCTGGGTGATAGCGTGGCTGAGCATAGCAAGCCGGCCTTGGCCGACCGGCTTTGGCGCTGGTCGCTGGCCCGCGGCTCGAGGAGTGCACAGCAAGCCCGTCTGCTGGCTGCTAGCGCGGAAGCCGCGCCGATCACCCCGTTTCTCTCTCAAGGTGATGTTGGACGGGCTTACGAACTAATCCAGCAACAATCGCCTTCGCTGAGCTTGAAGATTCTCGAGAAATCTATCCGAAGTCAGAAGTCGAGCTACAGGTCTGATCGTGAAGCCTTTGAATCAGCTGAGAAGCGGCGCTGGTCGCTGAAGCTGGCGGAGTTCATCGAGGAGGCTGAAATGCCTTTGGCGTCGCGGGTGGTAGGCCACGAGCAAGCGGCGCAGCTGTGGGAGCGTGCCTTTGGTGCCAGACGTTCCAAGACGCTACGAAATCGGGCTATGGTCTGGACGAAGGTCCGCGCCTGGATGAAAGCTACGCTGGGCAAGCCATGGCCCGGGAAGGCTGAGAATCTGTTGACGTATCTGGAAGAAAGACATGAGTCACAAGGAATGGGCAAGTCAGTCCCGAATGGAGTTCTGGGCGCTCTGGCACTGCTGGAACAAGTTGGACAGGTGGAGTCAGACAAGCGGTTGTCTGAGGACCGCCTGCTCGTTGAGGCATGCCGTTCCTGGACAGCGGAGCTGGAGCAGGATGCGCCACCGAAGAGGCAGGCGCCAATGTACACCATTGCAGTGATCCTTTCAGCAGAGCTTTGTGTTTGCAAGGCTTCCTTTCCTGTAGGGCTAAGGTTTTACGCTTTCGTTTTGCTTCTTTTGATCTGGACGACGATGAGATGCGACGACATCCAAGGGGTAGATCCTAGCACTTTTGTTTTGTCGCAGATTGGTGCCAAGTTCGTTATCCGGCGCACCAAGACTACTGGGCCCGGAAAGGCTGTAGGCCACCTTTTCGGCTATGTGGGGCGCGGAGTGGGCCTCACTGGGTATGATTGGCTAGCTGAGGGAATTCGTTTGCTCAGGACCGAGGCGTTGGCACGTAAGCGAGATTACTTCTGCCTGGGTTTCAATGAGGACTGGACTATTGCACAGGATGCTTATTTGGAACCTGAAGGGGTGGCTGTCCACCTTCGACGCCTTCTGCCGCCGCTGCATCTCTATTGGTCGGGACACAGTGCACGTCACACGCTGCCATCGCTGGCCGCCCTCATTGACATTTCCAAGGAGCGCCGTGATTTCCTGGGACGTTGGTCTGGCACGGTTCAGCAGACTATATTCTCACGAGTCGACAGGTTGTGCATTCTATTCAGACGGAAGTTTGCATTGCCATTTTGGAGGGGGCGCCCTGCGCCTGGGTTCGTCGAAGAGGAGTCGTTTGCACAGATTTCTGATTTTCTGGTGAGGCATGGAGGCGATCCCAATACTGTGGCATTCAAGCACACGGTCCTTAAGTGGGACGGAGAGTGCTGGAGCCTGGGGGGAAAGTTCCCTGCTGTCAAGGTTGATCTGAATGCGCTGAGACAGGCCCGCGGAGATGCAACCGTGGCGCTTGCCCCAGAGGTTCCGGAGCGCGAGGTTTGTGCGCCATACTTCGTGACAGTCTCTCGCACAAATGGTTTCCGTCGATTGCACGTGTCTCATGGGTGCGCGGTCAAGCAGGAAAGGTGCCTCGAGACCCAGCCAGTTTATCATCTTACTGAGGGCATTGCTGACGCGATTTGCAAGCTCTGCAGGCCTGCTGTGGAGGAACAAGATTTCGGGTCCTCTGATTCTGGGTCGGAGACTGCACAGGTGGGGCCAGCTGCTTAATGCTTTCGGAGATGGCTGCATCTTACACTCGACACAAGAGACTGAAGACTGTGCCGGGTGTGTGAAATAAGGGGGCTGCGTGCTTGGTCTAGGGTGTCTGTCTTGTCTCTCTGTCTCGTCCGGCGTCGCAGCAGCTGAAGTGGACATCGGAGTGTTTGCACAGATTGTTTTGCCGGTTTGGAAGCCCCATTCCGGGGGAAGCCGTGCAAGGATCGGTGTTCATTGAGATGGTTTGGAAGCCCTGTTGAGCAGGGGAAGCCATCGTGAGAGAGGTTTGTGATGGCTTGGAAGCCCCGACATTGGGGGAAGCCATACTGCGTGGTGAAGCTGTGTGTCTTGCTTGTTTTGCCTCGAGTGCTGCTTAGGGTCTGGGGTCTAGTTAGGATGCCCGTTGATTGAAACATGGACCTGCCTGATGGAGTCAGTCAGGGGCGGCGCATCAGCATTTTAATGACAAGGTTTCTTCGGATCTCGTGCATTTGCTCCAGGAGGCTGGGGTTCCGGTGGGACTTCAGTACCGGCTGACGCAACACTTTGATACCATCGGGAAGTTTCAGCTTATGCCGACACGCGAGCTGCGATTAGGGAGGCCTTGAAGGACGATTTCGCGCTAGAGGGGGATAGCTTGGAGAAGCGTTCCGCCATTGCTGCTGTCATCATGTCCTGGGAGTCCTGCAAGTCTTACGTTAGCAAGGAAGCAGATATCAAGGCCGAGGCCAAGCTGCTCGGCGTTACGCGTCCGATCGCCCATACCGACAGGACAGCCATGAAAGCCGCGTTTGAGAAGACGCACTACCGGCTAGAAGAACACCTGGAGCCCTCCGAGGCCTATCTATCAGCCAAGGTCGAAGAGGTGGAAGCCTCGGAGATCACTGCGAGTCCGTTGTCAGACGTCACGTCCCGGAAGACCTCCCGGGACTCTGGCATCCAAACAACTGTGGATCAGAATGGGCATGTGAGAGTGGTTAAATCCAAAGTGAAAGGACAGCTCCCTCAGAACACCGAGGAGCTACGTCTGGCCCTCAAGGCGGAGGGGCACATGTGGACCATGCTGGCTAGCAAGTTCCGAAACATTAGTCTTTTCAGAGGTATGGGGCCCGGGGTCTGGTCGGACTTTGCTGACTACTTGATGGGCGAGAAAGTCTATTTGATGAAAATTCCGAACCAGTATGGTGACAACACTGGGGTCAGACCGCCCTGGCATGTATTGTTGCAGTACGAATTTCAGGTCCGGAAGGAATCCATCAAGACTTCAGTGCGGGAAAATCGGCCGCTAGCCGAGGTGCTCCCAGAAAAATCCCGAGACTCCGAGATTCGCGAGCAGCATTTCATTTCGCCCATCACCCTACAAGGAGTTATCAACGAGGGCCGTGGGAATCGCCTGCGGTGGGGACAGCAACAGCAGCAGCCGCCACGTTGGCAGCCATATCAAGCCTGGAGTCGCAACACAGACAAAGGCGACAAGGGTAAAGGCAAGCTGATCGATATGAAAGGTGACTACAAAGGCGGGAAGACAAAGACGGGCAAGGGCAAGGACAAAGGGAAGCGTGTGCTGACGCACACCCCGGACGGCCGACAGATTTGCTATGCCTTTAATGAAGGAGGCTGTGATGGATCATGCGGTCGAGTACACATTTGTCAGGTACCCGGGTGCGGGCAGCAGCACCCCATGTGGCAGCATTGGCAGAAGAAGGCCGGTGCTGGTGAAGCCGCGAATGCGGATAAAGCCTGACTTAGGTTGCTTTATCTATTTGCGGGAGTCCCACGCGACGGGGACATTGAGTCACATCTTAAGGATTTGGCCTACCAGTTTGACATTCACCTGCATGTGCGAGCTCTTGATCTCAAACGAGATCCGAGTCATGACCTTACATCCAAGGGTCTGTGGGAGGACATCTTTCGGGACATTTCAGCTGGTCTTTGGGATGTGTTGGTTCTTTCACCCCCATGCAACACTTTTTCGCGGGCGAGATGCAACTGGATGGGCAGCACTTTTCCTAAGCCTGTTCGTGACCAATCTTTCCCGTGAGGATTTCCATGGAATTCAAATCAGAACCGGCAGCTTGCAGAGACGCACAATTCTTTCATTCTCAATTGCTTACATGCAGTCAAGTTACAGATTTCAGCTTCGAGATTTTGGATTTGGGAACATCCCGAGGACCTTGGGAGGACACGGGATGGACAACATCCGGCGAGTGTTTGGCAGCTTCCAGAGTTGCAGGAATTGGTTAAGGTATCAAAGGGAGTCACATGGGCTCTTCATCAGTGCCACTACGGCGCTGACACCCCGAAACCTACGAGGCTGGCTACGAATCTGCCTGAGCCATCAACTCATGAGTCAGAGTGGCCAGTCTTTGATGAAGAAGGCTGGTATGTTGGCCCGTTGGGCAGCTGCGGCCATCATCACGACCGCCAGCTGCAAGGATTGGAGGGTGACCAGTGGCGTACGGGGCCGTCTGCCGCATACCCCTCTGCTTTCTGCTTCTACATGGCACAACTTTGCATGGGTGCCAGGGTATGTGCACCCACGCTCGCCGATACTGCCGACGTCGGTCATGTTGCACATGAGGCCGAGCGCTTTGCAGCCGAGGAGCTCGCCACAGGTAGACCCGTGGCTAGAACAACGATCAGTACTCTTTTCTCTTTGCTTCCTGGGGAACCCCCTCATAAGGCCTCGGGTTCCCTTGAGGGTCGTGTTTTCATTTCGGGAATTTATTCAAAAGGGGGCCTCGTTGGTCTTCGCCAGAACTGCCATTTGTTCCCGTTCAGTACACAGCTGTGCAACAAGTTCATTCGGGAGCAAGCTCCGGATCACAAGTTTTCGTCATTCATTCTCTTGCACAACGTGAAGGCTGATGTTCACAAGGATCTTGGCAATGCTGATACACCCAGTCTCTTGATTGGTGTCAGCTCCTTCACTAACGGTGAGCTCTGGGTAGAATCTCCGGACGGCAACACTAAGATGAACTTTAAAGACAAAATCGTCTTCGGCAACTTGCATCCTGTTTGTGACACCAAAGTTTTCTTCGATGCGCGCAACACATGGCACGCAACGATGCCGTGGCAAGGAGACAGACTGGTGGTAGCAGCTTACAATCCAGCTTTCATGCGAAACCTGCAGCCACAACAACTTCAGCAACTGCGTGATTTGGGTTTTCCTCTCAGTTTGGATGCTTCAGCTGCTTCTGCCTCTTCTCCACTCCCTGACGGGTTGGGGGGAAGCGGTGGAGTCTCGGCAGACCAAGGGGACCAGGAAGCCGGCGCTGATGAGGCCGCTGCTGATGAATCGATGGTTGTTGTTCTTGGGAGTTCGAAAGAAGATGCAGGCGAGGAGAAAGGGGAACAGTTTGATCCGAGGTACAGTCGGGCTCTTGGGCAACCGATGCAGTGTCATCATGAAGGATACACTCAGGAGTTCGTGGATGGCTTTGGTCTTTGCTCTCCCGGCCGCTGGCCACCGGAGGCCAGGGGGCATCTGCAGACCTTGGAGGAACGCAAACATGTCAATGCGATCGCGAGTGTCTTGGAAGATCTGGTTAATGATGCCATTGGAGATGTCAAACACAAATCCATGGAGCTGGCCCTTGGCAGGCTTAAAGGGTCGCCGTTTTCGGAGGAGCAGCTCTGGCGGGCTAGGGGGCGGATTTGTGATGTACTTCCCGCGCCTGAGGCCGCCAGGGAAATACCGGAGAGGCAACCTTTCATGCTACACATGCTTGGACAATCTTTAAAGCTGTTGGGTGATCCAGACTGGGAAGTATTGTGTCAGGGACCTGAGTCATTCGCCGAAGGAGTGCCTTTGGGGTGCGACGGGGAACTGAAGAGGACACCGCAGGTTTTCCGTGCACGTGTCAAGAGCCGTAAACTTGACGAGACCGACTTCCAGCCCATCATGCAGAACTATTCGTCTGCTGAGATGACGCAGGCCCAACTGGAGGAGAAATTCAAGCAGGACGAGGCGCTGGGCCGGATGATCGCTACTACAGAGGCTGCTGCGCGGCAGGAATACCAGGAGGTGCTAGTGGCAGCTCTAGGAGCGATTAGTAAACCGAATGGCGAGGTCAGACCGTTGCATGACGCTACACACGGCGTCCGGATTAACAACCGGATCTCCGTGCCTGACCGCTTGGAGACCCCTGGACCGGAAGAAATCGTGGAGCTGATTACTCGGGCGAAGGCGACTAAGCAGGCGGCCTTCTGCATCTCGGCGGACATTTCGGCGGCACATCGTTGCGTCAAGATAAGGAAATCGGACTGGGGCCGGCTGGGCTGCAAAACATGCTCATCCTCCCAGACGCTCTGGATCAACACGGTCGGGACCTTTGGTGTGTCCAGCGCGTCATATCATTGGTCCCGTTTGTTCGGGGCCATTGGCAGGTGGGCTCTCCGAATCCTAGGCCAGAAGTGGGCGTTACAAATCATATACGTTGATGATCTTCACGTGGTGGTGGTAGGACCCGACCGCTTCAAGACGCTCTGGCTTTTGCTGGCTGCTTACGAGGTGGCTGGCACTCCCTTCAACCACGCGAAGTTCAAAGGCGGTCACGAGGCGGAATTCGTGGGCTACTTCCTCTCTTACTATGACTCCCGGGCCGGCATCTCCGAGAGGCGATGCCGTTGGGTGCTGGATTGGATCGCAGCTGTTGAAAGGGATAGGTGGATGATTTTGGGCCGCAGCTTGGCAGAGTTCGTGGGGCGCCTAACATTCGTTGGGCGGATGGTGGGATGGGTCAGGCCATTCCTGGCCCCCTTGTACGCATGGAAAGCTTTCCTTAACCGCGGTACCACCGCCCGGGCACCTGAAGCGGTTTATCTGAGCTTATGCTACTTGCGCGATCACTTCGAGGTGCTCTCCCACACGGTGCAGATTTGTCAAGTAAAACCGTACTGTCAACAAGCCTTCAGGACCGATGCTAAGTGTGAGAAAGGAAGGATCGTCTTGGGAGGATGGTCTCTCAGGATGATTGAAATTTCACTTTCCCGGTGG